TCTTGATGTCAAATTTGATAAAGCTACCGTCAATTATTCTGTTATTAAGTTTTATTGCGGAAACTAGTATCATTTAAAGTTTATAATATTCGCCTAGTTGTCATTCAGATAGTTATACGTCAGACAACAACTCAGACATCTTTAAAACGAGCAAGCTTCGAGTAAAAGACTATTACCGTCTTCAACGTCAGATGAATTATTATTGTTGATGCCCTTGATTGTAAAAAGTAAATTAAATGAATTTTCAATACAAATTAACAAATAAATATATCCAAAAATAAGTTTACTACGCAATTAGGCGCTAGGGGTCGACGGTTTGATTCGCAGACGGAACAAGGTGAAACCCACAGATGATTGTTCCGTAAGTTTAATCGCATCAGGTAAGCAGCCGATTATAAACACCAAGCCAATACCATTAACAACTTGATTCAAATGTTTTGCCGACCCTACAAACGACGAATTGATGTAGGAGAAAGATGGAATTAGAGCGTGAAACTCTTCGGTTTCCTAGAAGATTTAGTTATCCGAGATCCTAATAACACCTTTTTATTTTTAAGTGAGCATATCTAATGTACATAATCAAAATGATAGAGGTCTGTCTATGTGTGCGCATCACCGTTAAACTATTGAATGGATTTCAATTACTTATCCTAAGTTTTCTTTCTCAGACACTTGGTCCGTAACAAAAAATATTAAAGTTTTAAGAAACCGCGATTTTCATAAGCATTACGTGTTTTCTTGACGATTTGAAGTGGGGCAAGTGTAGTTAATATAATAAGCGATGCAGATGAAGTCGCGGGTATTAGCTACTTTCTATTAACACTGTATTGCTAATCTACTTTCGGTGTTACGGTACAGCTTTTATATTATTTTTCCGAAACAGCTTTAGTCTTTTTACCTTTTAAATTAGCTTACTTGTAACTACGTTTTTAAAGTGATAGATAAAGTCAGCAGACTATTGCTGCCTAATTGGACCGGCTCCACCGTGAGTCCATGAGCTTAAAAATATTGTGCTTATCTTGTTCTTTCGTCTAGGGAGTGAAATAACGGAGTACTCAGGGATTGTAGTGATCACTTAAGAAAAGTCTTTTTTAATGTAGAGATGGTATACAGTACACACAGTATACACAATACGATTTTCTTAATCTGAAAATAATGTATCAAGGAACGAGAACGTTTCCTATTGTTGTCGACAAAGTAACTTCGCAGTCGTCGAAAGCACTAAGCCTTATACAACATGATCTCTTCTTTATCCGCAGACTAAACGCAAAGCTTCTGGAAAATTCATCGACGTTTTACTGGTCTCGAAGCGTAATTGTGCCCGCTCCCATGCCAATTATCGTGAAACGAAATTATATTGTAACAAGTGTTCGTTTCAGAACGAATGTGAACCTCGTTATTCTTATTAAAATGATGAACGTTTCTGGGAAAACGACAAATTACGAAGGTGAACTACGTAGTTAAACTGACGTCATAGAGCTCGTATTGTCTCCATTAAATTTATAGAGTCGACGCAGATTCAAATCTCGTTGGCGGTAAAAAAAATCACTTATGGCTATTTTATAGTCGTCGCGATGTCAATAAAAAATCATCTCGGTAATGGCCATGCGATTTTCCCAACATTATAGTATCGTTAAACGCATTTAACAGCGTACTTACGTGATTTGTTTACGCATACTATTAATATATATACTAATATATTAATATACATACGCTCATAAAAATTGACGTAAGATAAAAATATAAGAATACTGGCCGCAATCAAATACGTCGAGGAAAAAATTTTCCATCAACAAAATGTCACATTGACAGACGATTAAAAAAACGGAACGTTTCGCATGATAGCACGTCCGTTTAAATAATGTTTTGTTCGTTCAAATCAATGATGTTTTAATAATAGATGACGCGTGACCATACTGTGCGCCGTTTGCAATTGTTTCGCTCTACATTATATGACATATATAAGAGAGTATGACAGATGATATAGAACGTATGACACGGCAAGAGATAGCAGCATATAGAAATGCAATTTAAGTACACCAATAGGCGTAATCAGAGCGCCTCAGTTTCGGTGCGCTTTCACATCTACCTCGTTTTTGTATATAATATCATGGGTTCAGATCATATTTTGCAGCGTTTCGTATGAATCTGTTCTTTCTAAAGCTCTTGGATCATCCGGGGGAGTACGTCTTGATGTAAGTAAAGTAGAAGTAATAGTAATATAATAATAACTTTAATTCATAATAACTTCATTTTGAGGAAGCCTAATTTTAATTTCTTTATGACCCCCACACATACTACGTCTGTCGTAAGCTATTGCCAACACATCACCTTTTAAAGCTTGGCGAAACAACTGAAAACCCGCGCGTTAGATCACCATCGTTTGATTACTTTCTGTCATAAAAAAATATATATTTTATAGCGGTGTTTTTTATATGACTCGATTGGCATAGTGGATAGTGGACTTGTCTCTTGCGCAAGGGGGTGTGGGTTTTATTCGCAGTAGTGGAAAATATTATATAATGCATAATCTATGTAATACATATAATCTAGTATCTTTCTAGTATCTGGGCGTTTATATATCTATAAGCATGTATTTATTTACAAAAATAGAGTATGTTTAAGTATGTTTAGCTAATAGCAACAGTGCAAGCTTTGTTTAGTTTGGGCTAAATAACGTTGTTAAATTGTGTTCTGAAATATTTATTTATGTAAAAAAAAAATCTCATATTCTTCGCTTTCTGGTACGTACACCGCGTGGCGTTCGCTACGAGAGCTCGCGGCGCGATAAAATCTTAATTTGTGTAGACAGCCCGCACCGCGCGCGCTTGTTTAAAATATAATCGTTGGCGTCTGTGGAAAAAAATACCGGCCAAGTGCGAGTCGGACACGTGCACGAGTTTCCGTCCGTACTATTATGTATAAAAACGGAAAGAAAATCACGGCTGTTGTACAGAATAAAAAATAATTAAGTGGTGCTTCCCCCCCCCCCCCCCCACTATTATTTTTTTATTATTTTTGAATATAGCGGCAACAGAAATACATCATCTGTGAAAATTTCAAACGTCTAACTATCACGGTTCATGAGGTACAGCCTGATGACAGACGGCCAGTCAGACAGACAGACAGTGGAGTATTAGTAATCGGGTCCCGTTTCACCTTTTGTGTACGGAACCCTAAAAACCACTGTTTCGAGCGAAGCGTGGGTTCAATGAAGTCTTCGACGTGGCCGTACATCCCGAGTTCATACGATAGCAGAAAAAAAATCAACTTTGTCAAGCACAGCGTTATTGGTTCAGGTACCATGTTATAGCAAAAGTGGTCTTTCGTAGACCAATTGAAACATATCGTACTTTTCCATAAGGAATCAGAGAAGAATTTCAAATAATAGATAAAAGAGGAGATAATTTGAGATAATTTGGTTTAGTCAAAGGATGTACAAGACAATTGTGTTATGTTGATAAATAAATTATATGAACATAAAATTTGTTTATCCTTTATAAGAAAATATTTAAAAATCAACAAGGATAATTGTTGATTCTGTTCAGAGAAAAGGAGATTAAGATTTAGATTGTAATAAATACTATAAAAACAGAAAGGTTAATTTGTTGAAGTACATATGCTAATTAAGTAATTAAGAGAATAATGTAATATTTTATATTCATCATAATATGTGCGGCTGAAAAAACATTTCTTTTTAATTTTCTATTTTAATTAATTGAGAAAAAGGAAAATAAAGTCTTTTTAATTTAAACTAGAATTGCGTTTAAAATTATATTGCTCACACGACTTATCATATTAAAACTCAAATATTAGAAGTGGTAAGATAAAAAATGTCACTTCCTGAACGTTATTTCGGTCCAAGCGATGATGTATCTCAAGTCATTATAATCTTGCCTTTAGAACCAGTTGAACAATGTCATCGAGATATCAATCAGAAACATTTCTAGTTTAATTTCGCCGTTTAGCTCGCAAGTTGGACTGACAACTGTATTATGTTTTTTGCATTTCGCTTGTTGAGTTTGTCGATTGAACTGTAAATATCGGTAATGAGTTAACTATGATCACATATTTCTCGTCCTATATTTACGTACTATCGTGATAGCTCAGTGTCCGGACGATTGCGTTTAATTTAGTACACGCGCGCATAGTGAGTTCCAATCGGCGTTCATTTCGGTGCCAGCACCAAGAAGGAACGTAAAGTGGCAGACTGTACAAGTTCCACTGCTGGGCTTCTTGTGTTCAGAGGCTATTAGGGCATGATTGATGACTATGGGCAGGGACCACCACGCGACCCGCTGCGTATTGGAAGACTTCACATGTCTTCGAAATATTTTTTTTGTTATTATTTCCAAAAGACGCAGGTTTGGCAACGGGATCTCGATTTCTTTTTCCATCGTTATTATTTCAAAATAAATATACAGGTTTGATTTGTGAACTCACGTTGCTCGAGTATATTGAATTAAAACCGAGCACCCGGACACTGAAATACCACAAATAAAATACGTAGCGGACATATCATATATACGACATTGTAATATGCTAAAAATAAAATAAACTTGAACACACCTCAGATTTAAACATTGAGCTAAAACAGCAAATCAGTCAGTCTTACAAAAAAATCGTAGCTATTTGTACGACGGCTCAAGTTGAACTTGCGTCACTTATTATTAAAAAACACACACAATATACTCTAAAAGCCCACCGAAAAAAGCAAAAGACATCAAATAAAGTGCGAAATAATTTAAACGCTACATTCATCTAATAAGTTTTATATTCGCACAACCTGTTGACTCGATTCGCCATTTCCAATTGAACTGTAAAAAAACTTCAACGCAACCTCGTTTGTAAATTGTGTGCTAGCAATAATTATTAAATCAAGTAGAATATTATCTAAGTGTTAATTTTGAAGGAATCAAGTCGACAGATTGTGTACAATGTCTAAGGTTATTTACTTAAACTTAAAAAATAAAAAATATAAATAAAAAAATGAAACGTGCCCAGGTTCGAGATGCGATTGGTTGGATGCTTGTTGCTGCCGACAGATATCCGGGCTTGTCTGTACGAACCAGGAATGGGTGAAGGCCGGGTTTAGGCCCGGGTTCAGTCCGGGGCCGGGGCCCGAGAGGCCCATCACCCCGGGCAGGCCGCCGGGCCGTTGGTGGTGATGGAAACTAGCGGAGGCCACCGCGTAGTCCATGGCCACCGCTTGGTACGGCAACATTGTCACTCGGAACGCAATTAGTCCGACACGGTTGCACTGCTAAGTTCCCGCGTCATCCTTTAAAACGGCATGAGGTGAGCGCTTCCGGCTTCAGGACTGTTCCATTTTCGAATTCGCGCGCACTGTCACAACGTCCGGTCGGTCCACAGCGGTCGGTCCTTAAGCGCGATCAGGCCGGGCGGTGCACGCGGGCGAAGATCCGCTCGCGGGCCGAAGATCCGCGGCTGCCGGTGTCGTTTACGGGATGAGCGCCCGTGCCCTATATCCGTGGATGTCGCGGGGTCGAGATGGCCGCGGGGCGAAGTCACGCACAGCCACCCACTCGATAAATATTCCGGGCGTACGTCCGTTTCCGCGCGGACGTGACGCGGCGCTCGCTGCCCGATCTTCACGTACGGAACGCGCGGGCGATTATCGGAAACGTTCGCGCGCGTCCCCCTCTATCCGCTACGGACGTGCAACTGAGAGCGGGCACGCGCCAAACGCGACTCTATCACGCTCGGGCTAGACACCCCGGCGGATCGGGGTTTCGGCGTTTCGAGCGGGACGCGGCTCTACGGCAGAGCGGGACGGGCGGATCGATCGCGAAAGTTAAAAGCCCGCGTCGTTACACGGCCGGCAATAGGCGGCTACGTGATTGGGCGTGGCGTCGGCTATTAAGCTGAATCGTAGCGCCCCGATTGGTTGAAATTGGTAGTAGCTGCCTACGTGATATGTTCGGGAATACGTTTATAGCCTGTGCTCATAGAATATAATAAGTGAGTTAGAGATTGGATGCCCGCCAGCTGAGGAGTCGACGCGCCGGTTTCGATACCGATTCGCGGGCCTTTTGATCGCCACGCATCTCTAATCGACCAGTTTGACCGATATCAAACTGTATTCGAACGTAAAACGGCCATGCTAAAGGTATAATAACCAGTCACTGGTGCATCATCGCTGATAAACATTATAATCGTTAGTTTCATATTCTTCGGTTATATAATTAATCAATCATCAATCTGCTAAATGTTGTAATCGAAATTTCCTTTCTCGGTCAATTGCGAATAAGGCGCAACAAATTAGTATCAAAATCACAGAAAAATAACACGGTATAATATATATCGTATGCACACAATAAAATGTCAGTTTTTAAAATATTAAATTCTATAATTTACCACATGCATTAATAATTTAAAGGAATTTATTATTCAAAACATAAGAAAGCGCTCGATCCTCGAGATAACCACGCCCAATTTCTTTATTTCCTTTTTTAAGCTCAGTCTCCATACTTAGTGTTATTTTAAAACTGTTTACTTTCTTTCAAACCTGTGAAATACTTACGGGTGCCGTAAGATTCCTAATTTATGATCATGATAATATATGAATCTTGATTTGAAATTACTATTGATTCACATAAAAAGTTTCTTTCCGTAATAAAATGGTTAGGTAACTCAGAGGAAGATTTTTAGCTTGAAACTTTTGTATTTGTACACAAAAGTTACAAGCGAAAAAGGTATGTTCGAGAACAGCTGTCTTGAACAATTATTAAAAACATCTCATAACATGTACTTAAATAATTATAGTTTATAAGTAATTGCTAAAATTATGATTCTCTTTCTTCTTTCTGCTTCGTTTTTCCGGCAAGGACAAATGTCGGTTCTTGTTACTAAGAACCGACATTTGTCCTTGCTAGACTCAAATGTTTACGACTTCTTAAACAGTTATAATTAGTTAAGACTTTAAAACCTTTACTAAAAAAGGTTTTATCCAGAGAAACTAAGCGATTAGTAGAGTTTAGATATATAGCTTAGTGTCCGGGCGCTCTAAAGGCGATACCGCAACGCAAAGGCGAGCAACCTGAGTTCGATCCCCGGTGCCGGCACCAATGAAGTTTTTAACTTTAAGTGTTGACTTATCACGTGCTCCGCGGTGCACAAGGAAAACATCATGAGGAAACCTGCATATTTTCAAGTAACAAAAAAATATATTTCGAAGATATGTGAAGTCCGCCAATCCGCAGTGGGGATGCGTGGTGGACTATGCCCTGATACCCTCTGTACAGAGGAGGCCTTTGCCCAGCAGTGGGACATGTATAGGCTGTTACTTTACTTTTTTTTAGTAGAGTTTACGTTTGCTTATTTTAATTTAATTTCTTAGTTTAATTTAATTTCAACATCTTAGTTTACATTACGTCCTACCTGAAAGCACATGAAATAGTAAAAACCTCCTGAAATATTTGAGTTCAACAAAAGCTATTCCACATTTCCTACACACTTTGGTTCTGTGACCAAAAGAATTCCTACTTTTTTATTTACAACAGAAGTTGGCTAACGCGTAAGCGACCACCTGCTTCTGTATGATAACCGCATTATTTGCGACATTTAAAAGTGCTCCCCGGATACCTCACTCGCCAGGCGTAACGCAACATGATAAAAGTTTATACTTCTTCTTCTTCGGGAAGTCTTGATAACTCCTTTTGTGTCGACCCATGAACTGGAAGCGCCATTACATGCCAGTGGCTTTTCTAAAAGCTCACCTTTTGAAAACGACCATAAACCATCGCCACAAACAAAACCAAATTTAATTAGTTAAAAGGTACGTTGTTTAAGATTGATTTTCACTTGCTATCGATTGTACAGATTATTGAAGCTTTATATTAATAAATACATTCCGTCCGGCCGATCGCTTTTAGTTATTTATTTATATAATTTTTTTTTAATTTTTTTATTCAATATACTCGATCAACACGAGTTCAAATCCCGGTGCCGGCACCAATGAAATTGTTAATTGCAATTTTATATTGGAGGAAACCTTTATATTTTTGCAATGACGATAAAAATATTTCGAAGATAAGTGAAGTCTACCAATCTGCGGTGCCGTCCCTATCCCCTAATACTGTCTGTAAAGATGAGGTCCAGAATCTGATATACAGGCTGTTTTTCTATGCACATTAATTACGGTGGTAGGGCCACGCAGCAACGTCGGCTGTTGCACGAATGGGCAGGCCCGTCCGGGTAAGTACCACGACCTCACAGAAGACCAGCGTAAAGTGGAAGTATGACATATACTTTCGCGTTTCGTTTGGTGACTGAGGTAGCCGGAGCCCAATTTTCGAAAGGTTGTCAACGCATCTGTAACCTTCGGGTGTGGCAGATGTCCATAGGCGGCGGTATTCACTTAATATCAGGTGAACCGTCTGCTCGTTTGACAACTTTTCACATAAAAAGAATTTCTTGGGCAAAAAGCCAAAATAATCATCTGAATCCTGTCATCCCCGCTGGAGAATCAATCACGTTATGAGGGGCTTTCATGAGTTCACACGCCATCGAGCCGGCCGTATATTAGCACACAAATCGGCGGCAAATGGCGGACGGAAGCCGCAAACGCATGCCGCTTCCGGCGCGGCCGCCTAACTGGACTCCAGCCCGATCGTTTGCACCGCGACGCCCTCCTAACGATATTCTATTGTCGACGCCTGAGCGCGGCAGCACGCGATGGCGTTGGTGCGACGCTCGTTCTAAATTCGAACGGCCGATTGTTATAATTTTAATATTTTATCGGTTTCGCTATTAAAAATAAAAACGTTCGCATTCCGTTCGAATCGTGTGGCATATCCGTGATACTGGATTGAAATTTGAACGGTCGATAACGTTCTCATTTTGGAAAAAGAACAGAGCTTGAAAATAGAAACGAGAGTTTGATTTGTCTGTTTTCAATTAACTCTACTTAAAGTTGAAAAAGTTCATGTATGACCGTATCGATCAAGACCATTCCCATGAACCGTAAAATATTCGTTAAACCCGATTTGTTTGTTTTTTTAGGCTGTGCTCTACATGTAAATTATTTTACTACTCTATCAGCCCTATGAATACTGTGTAAGTTTGGATGTTGCTGAGATGATAATTGATGAGTATATCATATTTAATGTGCATCGTCCCACAGCTATTCGAAACTATTACCGTTCCTTAAATAAAAGACGTCGAAGGCCCGCGGACCGTAGTTTTTGTTTTTGTAACCGCTTATTGGGTAAAGAGTAGTCGTCTCGGGTTATAATCAATAAAGAGATCGCTCCGGTGGACACGGTCACGCGAAGAGCGCTCTAAGCTCGGACGCGGAGGTACGCGCGGTCCGAGCGCTGTGGCCCGACTAGCGGACGCTGAGGCGGCAGCGGGCCTGTTATCGCGCTTTGTTCTTTATTTAAATTTTGGAACCTTCATTCTTTTTCCAAAATAAGAAAGCTTTGTTAATAAAGCTATCCTTCTAAGGCGGTATTAAACTTCATTTCTCTTAATAATTTCATAATTGGAACGCTTTGTTTTTAAAGCTGTTCTTCGCAGGCAGTTAATTTATAGACAATCTGGAACATCAATTTTAATTAATGCAAAATTTACCTGTGTTTTCTTTATTATTAAACAAAGTTGAGAATATCGCTGATCACATGTAATTTGATCTCATGTAATTTGGCACCATATTTTACATAATTTTTTCTGCGGTAAACAAAAGCATAAATAATTAACTATTAACACATCTAAGAAATACCAGTGATGAATAATTAACATTTCGACACGAATAAAACAAATACCAATTAAAACGTAACACGCTCCGCTTGTCACTAAGCGCTCATAATCGCCGAAGTCAGCCAGAAAACTGCCTTCTTATTGGATAATTCGTGATTTTCCATTTTTTTCTCTTCCCACTGCCCAGCCGACAGGTGCTTGAACCTGTTACCCACGATCTTGACATTGGTGCCTCTTGGTCCGCAGGCGCCAATCGGGCGGCGGTTCAACGCACTCGATCAAATCTATCGGTTACGTGCACAATCGATTTTCAGTGCCGAATCGAGGTTCCGTTTCGCGAGTCTATTTTTAGAGCGGCGACGTTCGTTCGGCCGGATCGTCGAGAAAAGTCGATAATCTCATCGATTTGACGGTTTTGGTAAACGCTATATGTTTATGTATCTCTTTTCTCGGTAGTAAAGCTAATTTTGTGTATTATCTTTAATTCAGCCAAACCAAAGATTGTAAGTGATTTTAGAAGTGCATAGGACCGTTGTTGTGGTTTACACAGTTGTTTATATTTGGTAATATAAATTACTTATTTATTATCATCACTGCCCATTCGTACAGCAGCATAAGTTGTTCTGTGACCCTACCATAGTAAAATGTGTCAAGTAAAAGTTGAATAAAGTAACACTAAAATTTAAAACTAATGTGATTGTGTGTATACGTTCGTACCTTCGTCGTTTCTAAACGACTGAGCGGATTTTGTTGCAATTGCATTAGAAACTTATCCAAAACACAGGCAGCCGTGCAACTTGCTTGACAACATATAGCTCTGAGGCTGGATTGACGAAAAGGATTCATTTCGTCCAGAAGAGTTATATTTTTGACCCGATTGGCGTAGTGGGTTGTGAACCTGCATCTTGCGCTAGAGGAGGAGGTATGGGTTCGATACCAACTAATAGAAAAATATTTTGTAATGAACATAGTGTTTTTTCAGTGTCTGAATGTTAGTATATGTAAAATA